TAATTCCCTGTGCCGAAAAGGATAACATATAGTGTCACTACTCTAAAACAATGTATTTCCCTCGCACGACCAGGCCATTTCTCATAACACGAACGACCAGGGGGGGGGGGTTGTTACGATCCCCCCTGGCGTTTCGAAACGGAAGGTCGTAGAGCTTAGCGGAAAAACCAACGGATTGCTCTCAACGAGATCTCGCGATTGGTGGTATATTTTTTGGTCCTAGGTCAACATTTGACCTACTTATGACCGGTCAAAGGTCAAATTTTCCGAAAAAAATCAAACTTTTTCAACTTTCCGCGGCGATTGCGGCAAAACGGCGGGAGATATCGACTTGAAACCTTCACTATCGTGTTCCTTGATCAATTCTCTATCGTTTGGTATGTATTTCGTTTCCCTAGCTCTAAAAATGGCGCGTTGGGAGCGCCGGAAGTCGGCAAGGTCACAGTCGGCGGCAGAATTTCGAAAAATCAAAATTTAAATTTTTGAAATCTGATTGTATTTTTGGATTTGGGAGGTCCATTTGCTCCCTATAGAAGCTAATATTGCTGCATATTCCCATTGAGGTGACAAGAATTAGCAAAATAGTGGTTCGGGCGCTTTTCAAAAGTAGTACCGGACGCTGTTCCTCTTGTGACGTCATAGCTCCGTGACCTGACCTGACCCGGTCAATTTTCTTGCACCACACGATAGCCAATGCTTGCCCCAACATGCATGGGAAGTTTCATCATGATCCATCAAACAATGTGGGTATCACCGGCAGAAAACCTAGGGATTCGGCGCACACGTTTGGTAACTGTCGGCCGGAGGCTGTACCTCTTATGACGTCATAACTCCGTGACCTGACATGACCCGATCAATTTTTTTTCGGCAAAAGATGCGCAAAGGTTGCCCCAGAGGGTATTGAAAATTTCAGCCCGCTACGACAAGCCGTTTAGCGTGCACTTCGAAAAAAACCTCAGGGGGGGGGGGTTGATACAACCCCCCCCCCCTAGGCGTTCTAGGGTTAAAAAAAATGTCGACTTTAAAAACAAGAGTAATTTTCAACATTGGTTTAAAAATTAACAAAAGGATCATGTATTGAATGACAATGATTAAAATCATCTTCGAATAATATAACCTAGTTATATCATTTAATAAATATTTATTAAGCCAAATATAACGTAAGTATATATGACTGAGAAAACCAAATTATATGTTTACACATAAATATTATTCTTGCTATGGAAAGAGGGAAGCAGAACTGAGTTGATCCCTGTTGCCCACGTGAGTCAACTCGGCCGACTTGGCGCGGGTTCAGAGTGCTGCGAGTGCCTTTTAACCTATAATTTCTGTTGATTTCCTTGAATTGTATAATTTCGAAACCATGAGTGGTCGTTCGAGCAAAAGAGCTTACACATCTGGGTGTCAGAAACGAAAGCGGAAGATGCTACGAGAATTCAAAGACATTCGAAGAAACTCTCCTCATATTTTCGGCCCAGTGCACAGTGGGGATTTTTCCGATCTAGCACGTCTTTATTCGTAGAGGGCAAACCATAGGTAATATTGTAGCCAGATTGTGCACAGATGTTGGCTGGTGTGTTCTGGTGAGAATTTTACCTGTAAATGTGCATAGTCAACATAGTATAGTGGGTTCCCCGGCTCAGCCGTTTGGCCCCTGATCAAGCTAGAGCTTCGCGGAAAAATCAAGCGTGCTGCCTATGACGAAATGAGGCCGAATATATCCAATTTCAAAGTTCAAGGCCATTAGTTGACTTTCCAAGTCAGTTTAATGACCCAACTAAAGTTGGGAAATCGAGACCTCTTGAAACTTCGCATAGTTAGGGTGTTACGGGGTATTTTGGGGTGCTGATCACGAATTTCATGCTAATTTTGATCACAGACGATGTCTTTATGCATTTAGGCCAGGTCGGGTCAGGTCAGGTTAGATCAACCATTAGGCGTCCTGCAGGCCATTCATAGTAGGTGTCACCTACTACCTACTGATAGCTTCGTAACATGGTACGAAGGCACCAGAACTACTTCGTAAATATTTAAATGGTTGCTAAATTCGAAATCAGCACCAAGAAGTACCATAGAAACAAGTAAAACCCGAAAAAGTGAACCAAGGCTATCAAAGGTCCTCTCCGTGGCCGAGTGGATAAAAGCGCCGGAATTCGACGCTAAGCCGGTGGTGAGAGCCCGGTTCAAGCCCCGGTGCGGGCGGCCACATTTAGCTCCTACGTGTAATGGCGTGCGTGTCTGTGGCAGGGGCCGCACAGAAGCCAGGTAGCGTGAGTGAGCGGAGGGGACCGTGTCCAGTCGTGAGGGCACGTTAAACGTTCGGACAAAATTCTGCCATACAACTGGAATTGCGCGATCGGGTGGTGGGGTCAGGGTCAGCACAACAAGCTATGCTTAGTGCGGGCTCTGACTCCTCAAATCCACCCATTCAACCATTCGGACTAAATTTATAAAAAAAGTCAATGACCTTGACTTAACCTTCACGTGACCTTGTCACCCACCATAATGCATGGCACCAACATCATTTCACATATTTGAGCGTTCAAAACCACAAAAAGACTGGTAACCGCGGATAATGTGAACTGGCATACGCCGAATCACGATTCCGGCCAAACATGGTCTCGAGAAATATGCCACAGGTCAAAGGTCAGTTGGGTCAGAGTCATGAAAGTTTTAGGTTAGATGTAAAATTGATGATCTCGAGGGCAACGAAAGTTTCGTCGCGATCGGCCGCTTTTTGCGCGAGTAATTTGCGGAAAACCATGGGGTTTTATCCGACCCCTCCCCCTCCCCACAAGTGCAAGGGTTAATAAGGTTACGGTATGTATTATTTACACTTGTCATCATATTCCTAATGAATGTGTCTCAGAAAATACGTGAATCACGAAGTAAAATTATTCGCCTCTGTCCGGAACATACCTACATATATCGTGCTGTTTGCCCTAGCGCTCCTAGAGTGGGGTGTTAAGATACTCTAATGTGAATATTCCGTGTTCAGGCAAGTTCCGGCAGCCAAACTAGGCGTTGACTTGTGCAGGAGAAAGTGGCGAATTTGATAGGATATATTTCGGAGTGGAAAAGTGTGGAAAACATTGTTGATTTCCTACATTTATTTAGAATACCATTCCTTCCACATGGTGTCTGTAAGGGTTTTTGTAAATGGCATTTTTGTGACCTTAGTAAGGTTGTGGCATACTTTCTGTTTGCCATTCCATTCCCAATAAAGGTGCCTTTCAGAAGATATGCAACTTAAGACCTCGCAAGATTAAAACTAACAGGACAGGACAATGAAATTGGGCTATACTTTCGGGCCTTACTGACCCCATTGAATAATCACGCACGAGTGTTAACTTTGGGCGCATTTTTCCTAGTCTTGCTGTGGACATACAGATAAAACAATGCCATATATGAAAAATTCAGACATTTCTTAGCCCCACTGACACAAAAAATAAACAAAAATCCAAAAAAGATTTTTTGAATTAAGAGGCGCTAGATCGGGAAAATCCCCACTGTGCAGTGTCAGGTAAATAGGTACTGCACTACATGCATATGCAAATTGCATTGTGCTCACCATTGAGTAACTGTACTACTCTGAAATCTGAATATTTATGTATTATGGTAGTGGTTGTACTCGTGTCCCGTTGTGCTCATATGCAAGGCCGACGTCATGTGCGCATGTTATGTATTTGGAGCAAAATCAGAGAATTTAGCATGAAACTTGGCCGAAATCGGGGATCGGAGAGTATGCTGCTGCAAATGCCACGCGTGCGCACAGAACTCGCTCGCCGTGCATTTATGTGCCGGGCTACCACCGCCTGGAACCGCTTGCCAGCCGAGCTCAGGAGGAGTCGTTTATTGTGTCACCCACGGAGGTGAATCGCGAGACATGGGGAGTAGATGTGCTCAGTTTTATCGCATTTAGCAATTTTGTAAAGCGCACAATGCAGGGTGTTGTTATAAAACGATAAAAAGCAATCGCCCCGAGCTTTAATAGAAGCAGATAACCACAATTTGAATGATGTTTCCAATGTCAAAATGCTGAAACATTTATTTCTTTTATTCTTTTTGGCCATGGGCCTGGGCCCCATGGGCCTCGCCATGGGCCTCGCCAACAGAAAGTTATTAATTTTATTTACATTTAGCTTTTTTATGTGAATTTGGGCCTCTCTCGAAAAAATAGTGGGCCCAATTCGCTGACTTTGGTTTTTGATAGGGGGTACCTTGACCCCCGGCCTTCGCCCCCCCCGCAACAGTTTCCATAAATTGGCACCCCTGCACTATACATTTGTATACTCATGTATGTATGTAAATGTACGTTGGGAAGCCGTTCGACACCTGGGGGCCCCCACCGGTGGGGGCCCCCCGAGAAAAAGTCGGACCAGTTTTCCTTACGCGTCGACGCCCCTGTTGTGGTAACCATTTGACAACGTTTAAACGACGTTGTAACAACGGCAAATTGTTAGCTGGGAACTCGTGGGAATATGCGCTTCAAGCCAACTAACACACCACACCCACGTGTGTCATAATGCTGAGAGATGGCGTTCACTCGGCTTGCTCCTAACTTACGATAATTCTCTCGCTAGATGGCAGGCCTGATCCCAATGTCGCGGATCCCAATGTTAATTTCCACGAGACACCAATCCAGTGTTATATCATCCATGGTAAAACCCAAGGCCCTAAAACATAAAACCCTACATTACTTTAGCGGTGGGCTGTACGGGCTCGCGACGAAACTGGGCGACCGGCGAAGTACCGACCAGTACCGACCACGCGACCCGCGAAATCAGTGGGAAAGGACTACGCGTCTCAAGCTTCTTTTCTTGGAATTCCAATGAACTATGGATGCTTTGACTGATGCAGACTGAAGTTTTCATGTTTTTTAGCCCATGCTGTTTGAAATGCTTGAAAATAATTACAGTTGCATGTTTCAAAGGTTGCAGCAGTTTAGTGACAATTCCAATTCATTTCTCGGAACCTTGAGAGTCACGCGGAAGCGCGTTGTGCGTCGAATTTGTTGTTGAATTCGAAGTTGGCGCACCTTGAATTATAATTGATTGGTTATTGACAAAGACATTATAATATTCACATAATATTATCATCAGTAATATTTCCAGTAAGTGTGAATGGGTGATTAAGTTGTTGTTTGGATTCCATGCAGGTTGTGTGGTTTTGAGGAACACCCAAGGCTATATAATGATAAACCGGAACACCATTGCCATATATCAGTAGGTGGAACTATGGTCATGAGTACCCAAATATAGGAACGTTCCCATTTTTGGGAACGGAGTTCCCAAATATGGGAACGGGCGTTCCCATTTATGGGAACGGAAGGTAATTTTTCGGCCGTTTGCCCACTAAAACTTATGAGTGCATCACGTTTCAAAATAGTGCACGCTAATTTAAGTATCTACTAAGACTCTATAAAATTATCTTTAATCTGACCGTTGCACAAGGAAATTGACCGTCGAATGATATTTTTAATGATTTTTTGAAGTGACGGAATGGTGAAAACATGGGTTATACTACATTTAACTTGCAATTTTAAGGAAAATGAAGCGTTTGTTACATTTTGAGGTCAAGTATAATAATTTTCGCCTGGTTATGAAGTTTCATACTAGCTACACCAGATGCTGACATATGCAAGCGAACACGCGGACAGTCCGGGGGTAATATTGGTGACATTTGGTGTCGGGGCGCACGACCGCATGGAACGTCAGTGATTTTACCGAACTACTGTTGTAAACTTAGTTTCAGTGGTTTAAAATTATTCAGCTGTATTTTATCATCCCAGAAAGACATATTTTATTTGGATGCTAGTTGTTTAGAGTTGTTTTATAAGGAGCGTCATGAGCGTGGTTTTTGTCTTCCGTGTTTCTAAGCGTGATCGTTTTGGGGGAATTTCTCTCATATTGGTCGCTCTGTGTGGCTTATTTATAATTTTTATGCTGATTTCGATCATTCCTCGTGCCCATCCTACCAGGCCTTTTGCCACTTACACTCATCTAGAAAGGAAAAAACTAGATTTTCATTGGGACTAGTTGTTTTGAGGGTGGAACATATTCAGCGTTCCCATTTTTGGTTACTTCCTTGTGCTCGTCAACTATCGGTGATAAACAGACAGGTGCTTGACATGTCTCCACCCTCGGCGCGGACGGTGGATATAGGTATGGAAGACCTTGTTGAACATCGCTGAGCGTTGTGAATTACGTAATCCTACAGAGGGGGGCGTGCCCGCTGCGAGATCGACGGGAATAAAAGCGCAGAAGGCTGGGCGAAACATGCGACGGTCTTGCCGGAAAGGTCATCTGATGATTGTTGCGTTAACAATAATTTGCGGCGTTGGACGTGATGCTTGTTAAGGAAAAGAGCCCCTGAAAGGCGTCGGTGAAATCGTTCCCAATTTTGGGTACGCCGTTCCCATAATAAGGAACGCTTGCAGCGCCAGTGTACGAGAGCGTTCCCAAATTTGGGCTCGCGGCCCGGATGATGGACTGCTTTAGAAATAGGGGAACGATTTGAAACTACGATGGGCCTTACAATATCAAACTCTTTCCCAACAATATTGAGACAAATATCAGGCGGTTCACGATCGTTTTATATTTTTTGGACGTCATTTAACGGTTCTTTTTCTTGTTTTAAATAATGCCTACATGGCGTTCCCATATTTGGGTTTATCGTTCCCAAACATGGGAACGAAAATGCGTTCCCGAAAATGGGTATGCTTGACCATAGTTCCGCCTACTGATATTGGGATGAATGAAATGAAGGTATAGTCTGTTCTGTTCCATATCAAGCTTGTGGTCTGAGTTCCTTCGGCAGTTGGTTCCTCCAGTCCACTCATTAATTTGTGGTTTGAATGTAAGCTGTATGTACAGGAATCACACACTTCCTTTAGAAGGGCACTGCGTCAGTGTGCGTCACACTTGTTTTTTGCAACCAAGGAGAGGTGCTATACCCAGAGATGCTTTCTAATCAAACCAAGCCAAATCTAATCAAACCTTACCTAACATTACCTACAACCTAACCTACACTCTACAGTTGGTTGCAAAAAAAAATTGACTCGCTTTACTACTAGACTAGGTACTAGGTAACAAAGTGAATTCCAAAACATCATGTAGGTATTAGGTAAGCCATGAAGTGTTTTTATTTTTGCAAGCCTGTATTCAAAGTATAAATTTAAAAATAAATCAAAATAGCTTTTCAAATACTGAACCCAGACTACCAAGTGCCAGTGCTATAATTGTACTCCACATTGCTATTGTATTGGTTCATCAACACTTATCATGTTACACTTACACAGCACTTATGTCTGTTACACTTATGTTACATGTTACACTTATGTCTGAGGCACCCCTTAAACCACTTCCATGTCTGACATACTCCTTTTTTCTCCATAAGGTGCTCTCGGGACTCTGATGACATCACCTCGCCCAGAGATGACGTCGGATGAGCCACTGGCGGACCAATCATCAGACTGCCCCGATGTGGCGTCACCACCCTCTCTGGCTGCTGTGGAAGAGGAACCAATCGACTCCCCAGAGCGATCGCCGGGAGGTCCGGAAGGACCAGAGTCGGACTCTGACTCTGAGGACTCAGACTCTGGCCAGTCGGGAGTCAGCAACATCAGTGGACTCAACTGGAAACCTAACGCAGGTGGGTTTTGGAGGAGATTGTGAAAACACTCTGCTGAGGATGTTTAAGGTAAATGACTGAAAGAGAATGTGGGGAAGCTGGTGAGAGATGATGGAAGCTGGAGCAGAAGAGGCAATCCTGGCCTATGAGATTATGACTTTACTGATTCTCATTTCAGTTTCTCATGTTAAAAATAGCAGACAATTGCTTCTAAAATAATTCGTAAATCCGCCGCCCAGCGCGGATGACCTTGAGCTCGCCGTCTGCTGCAGCCCCAAAGCCGATACAGCGCACTGGGGCGGTGAATTTGCAATGCCAGATCACCCACAACTCTCTGAAATTTTCCACCTATGATGTCACCTCCACCCCGTCTGTCTCTCTATAACCCCACTGATATCTACCCCGCCATTCCCGATATGCTGGGTGCAGAGCCAGGCTGGCGTGGACCGCCGAGAGGTACAGTAGGTGTACAAAATAAGTCCTCTCCGTATGCGGGCAGGTGGCGCCCGAGTAGCGATCAGGCACTAACTGCCCGCTGGTGACCCGCATACGCCGGGGACTTGTAGACCTTAACTGTACTGCACAGTGCACTCCCTGTCTCTAACATCTCTAATCTCTATAACCCTCCACAGGTCCGATATGCTGGGTGCAGGACCAGGCCGGCGTGGACCCCCGGGAGGTACCACACACCCTGTCTCTAACCTGTCTAATCTCTACCTCCACAGGTCCGATCTGCTGGGTGCAGGACCAGATAGGGGCCGGTGTGGATCCCCGGGAGGTACCACACCCTGTCTCTAACCTGTCTAATCTCTATAACCCTCCACAGGTCCAATATGCTGGGTGCAGGACCAGATAGGGGCCGGTGTGGATCCCCGAGAGGTGCTGCACACCATACGGCCCGGCCTGGGGCCGATACCTGGCCATATCGATGACATCACCCTGTGGAAGGTGGGTAGAGGCGGGAACGGATTCCTTCAGCAGTTAGGGAATGACATGCAAGAGCATTTACAGGTAGCAACTCAGTTACCAATGCCCTTTGCTTGTGTTTGTAGTGTTTTACTTCCGATGGGCACCGATGACTACTGTAGTCCGGGCGCTCAAAAACCCCAATTCATTATCATCATCACTTTCGAGCTTGCGACTGATGCAAGCAAGGGCAATGTATTTGAACTGGGTCTCGATTGCTGCAAGAGTGTTTGAGCCCTTAGAGTAAATACAACAGCGTATTATCTCGAATTATCACTAACGTTTTGTCAATCGATGACTACATTTTTGCGTGTGGATTGTGGAAGAATTACTTTATCAACTGTTAATGTAAGTGCATCATGCATTAAATATGTCTTTTCAAAAGCGAAATTGCTTCATTTAGGCAATGCTTCAGTCCATTGAATATTTTGAAGTGTAATGTCTGTTAACCTAGAGCAATGTATTTGTACTGGCTCTCGACTGCTGCCCAGAGAGTTTCAGCCCTTGGAGTAAAAACACCTGCAGCTAGCCAGGGCCGCGGAGTCGGAGCCGGAGTTGGAGTTGGAGTTGGAGTTGGAGTCGGTCGGAGTCGATAGTTGTGATCGGAGTCGGAGTTGGAGCTGGTTTTTGGAAGCCGGACTCGGAGTCGGAGTCACTGAAAATCCATCGACTCCGCAGCCCTGCAGTTAGCCTGTCCATCCCTGGTCCATACAAGGCCATATATAGGGGTCCATCCTTCCAATCGTGACTCGTCTGTATGTCTCTGTCCTCAGCTCGTGATCGAGATACTGAGTGAGCCGCCGCGCCGGGAGAAGCTGCGACATGTCAACACCCTCTCCGACGTCGTCAGGCTGATCCGTGGAGCCACCAACGTCATCGTCCTGACCGGAGCCGGGGTGAGTGAGGTTTGAAACATAAGGGGGAGGAGAGGCTAGACACAGGGGTAGGGGGCGGTCTTATGAGGGTGGGGAGTATAAGAGTCGAGAGAGGAATGATATCTCGTATACAGGAGGGATGGTTGGCCATGTGAGTTGATTGTGACGTGACCTGTTTTGATGTGTGAATGGAAAACTTGTTCAGCTTATTACATAGTTGATGCAGAACTCTCATTTGTCAAGTTAATATTGGCTGATATCCATGTGTGCGATTAAAAAATCAAAGGTTTTTATGTGAGCCTTTCACTTTGTATGCTCACTGTTATTCCTGGCATATCTGAACCCATGGTGTGACAGAGCTGACAGCTTATTGGGATGCTTCCATCCCAGTATTTCGCCGCTATGACCAGTATGACCCCAGAGTGACCGCTCTGCCCTCTGACCTCCCTCAGGTGTCTGTGTCGTGTGGTATACCCGACTTCCGGTCACGTGACGGCATCTACGCCAGGCTGGCTGTGGACTTCCCCGACCTTCCTGATCCCCAGGTCAGTTCAACGTTAATTAGCTAGTATATCGTTGAGAGCTGCTGCGAGGAGCATGATAAATGTAGGAAGTATCATTAGAATATATGACCTTCTCCTCGGAAAATGACAAAATGAATGAAAATGATTATTTATTGAATCAATAAGTGATCAATCATGAAAATGACAAATAAATAATTATTTTCATTCATTTTGTCATTTGCCGAGGAGAAGGTCATATATTCTAATGATACTTCCTACGTTAATTAGTTAGGTCGGAATGTAGGCGAAAGGTCAGCAATCAGCAGGTCACGTCAGATCAGGTGTGACATTGATCAGATGACATCAGAGCTTGTGAAAGGTCATGAGGCTAGCAAGATGTTTCAGGTCATTCAAGAGTGAACTGGTCATGAGGCCACGTTTAAAAGTCAATTTTAAGTGATCAAAGCCCATTAGAAGGTCTGATAGATCACAATCAATTAATGTTGTAGCTTCAACGACATCATCAGTCATCAGATCACTTGGTCAGGTCAGTGAGAGGTCATCAGGTCACGTCTGAGATAGTGCGAACCTTTCAGTATTATTTGCTGTGTTTCTTGGCTAGCAAGTCTGCAGCTATTTCACCTCCATTGTACTCCGTATTTTTCCACAGGCGATGTTCGACATACACTACTTCCGGCGCGACCCACGGCCGTTCTTCAAGTTCGCGCGGGAGATATATCCGGGCCAGTTCAAACCGAGCCCGTGTCACCGGTGAGGGAGGTGGAGGGAGAGGAAAGGAGTAGGGTGCGGCTGGTGTAGGGGTTAGTGTTTAGGACATGAAGATGGAGCATAAGGGAAGGTCTTCATCGGGTGATGCAGCTGTAGCTAAGATTATACTGGACAGGAACTGAGTTGCGGTTGTTATTTATTGCCAGTAAGGAACTCGATGTCAAGTAAATCGATCTTTGCTTTTGGAGAATTGCTTGTGAATTCTGTGCCTAGTGAACGGTCAGTTGGCTTCGCGTTCACTAGGAGCCTCTAGTGCACCCATCCCCTCATACTAATTTTATAGTTATATCCGTATGAATACAAATAAAATAAACAATTGTTTTATTTTGGTCACCAACAGAACAGACGACCATGAATCGGAGTTGGCGAAGTCTGCATATAACACGTCTTAACCACCGACTCGTACATTTACCGTCCGCGTCCTTTCGCCAGGTTCATCCGCATGCTAGAGCGTCAGGGGAAGCTGCTGAGGAACTACACGCAGAACATCGACACCCTGGAGCAGCAGGCCGGCATCGAGAACGTCATCCAGTGTCACGGTCAGTCAGTGTGCGGAGAGGGCGGGTTCGAACCCCGGATTGGGCGAAATATTTGGTGATTTTTGTGGTGGGTTTATAAGGTTGCATCAATTCCAATAATTGATCTAAGTACATGCCTTCCCCTTTATACCGCTATACCAGCTCTACTCGACAACTCAACATCTCATTGTCTTCCCCTTTACCATTCAAGTCTCATCTCAAATACCACTATCTCTCTGTCTCATTGTTATCTCAGATCAGGTCATCCTCTGCACCTTTTGTCATTCATAGGCCACAAGCTTGTTCCTTTTTTCTTCCACTCATCTCTTTCTTTCTTCTGTCTAGTCATCTCTCTCCCTCTCTCTCCCTCCCTCTCTCTCCCTCTCTCTCTCTCCTCTCATCTCACATATTATTCCTCCTCCTTCTGTCGTTTACAGGCAACTGCATCTCTTTCTCTCTTTTGTCCTTCATCTCTTATCTCTTCTCATCTCCCATTCCCCTCTTCTGTCGTCCATTGCCATCCCCTGGTCTCCCATGCTTGTCTCATCTCGCATACTCCTATCTTTCCATCTCATTCTCATTTCCCATCTTATCCTGTCATTCACATCAACCTATTCTCCTTTTTCATTCATCTCTATCTGATTCACATCTCATCCCCCGTCTTCTGTCGTTCACAGGCTCGTTCGCCACTGCCTCCTGCCAGAGGTGTCGGTACCGCGTCCCGGCCGAAGAGATCAGGGAGGACATCTTCCAACAGCGTATCCCCGCGTGCCCGCGCTGCCCTGCATCCGCCTCTGTCGTCTCCATCGCTTCTGGAAGTGGTAGAAACGACTCTACGGCGCCTGGTGGTGGAAGCGACTCTACGGCGGCTGGTGGAAGTGGTAGGGACTCTACGACGGCGGCTGGTAGTGGTAGCGACTCTACCGCCCCTGGTGGGGGTGGTAGCGATTCTACTGCCCCTGGTGGTAGTAGAAGCGATTCTACCGCCCCTGGTGGAAGCGGTAACGGTGGTGTGGACAAAGAAGATGATTTGAAGGCTACCTGCAGCTCAACTGATGTTGCTACTGCGGATGACGTGAAGCTGGATGTGAACAGTGGCGCTACTGAAGGAGCTACCTGTGGTGCTGTTGATGCTACTGGCGGTGCTACTGCTGATGTGTCTTCTAGTGCTACACCTAACACCTCAAGTGCCACTGACTCCACCACGACTGCTGCCGCCAGCGCTTCATCCAACACTACCACTGCAGACTCGTCCATCACCGCGCCTGCATCAACATCTACACACGCACCTACACAGCCCTCGACTCATCACTCTGCGTCGGTCGACGTTCACGACGTCTTTGTGGCGTCAGCGGTGGACTCGGCCGATGGTGAAGCGATGGCTGCGGCTGCGGCCGCCGCTGATGCCTCGGATGTGATTGGTGTGGATGAAGCCCTCACGCATGGCGCAGAGGGAGTGATGCATGGAAAAACGCATCAGCATGGAAACGTGCATGGACATGGTGTCTCCCATGGGCATAGGTCGACGCACTCACATGGTGAAAGACATGGACATGGAAGGCCGCGCCATCATCATGGGAAAGCTGAAGGACATGATGAAGGAAACCATCACAGTGAAGTAACTCATCACCATGGTGCAACTCACGGAAGTCATCAACACAGTCACAAACATCATAAAATGAAGTCTCAAAACTCCCACAGATCTAGCTCAAACTGTGAAGGAAGTACCACCACTAGCGGTTCTTCCAAACCTAGCGCCCATGCAGAATCAACGTCAGAAATCACGACCAAGAGCGGCGAGGATTCTTCAAGGATCCCTACTATGCCCTCTTCTGAGCGAGTGTCGTCAGAAAGGATGTCATCAGAGCGAGGACACACTGAGGAGAGAACAGCGACGGTAGATGAGGACACTGCCGACTCGGGGTTCGCTGCCTCCACGCGGGAGGTGGAAGATGATGCTGCGAGACCTTCCGGCAAAGGTGAGCACAAGTGTAGGTTTGTGTGGTGGTTGTGTAAAGCCATAATTCTTAAGTTCAGTATGGAGCAGCACTGATTGCACACTGCTTTCTGCAGTGACAGGTTGAGAGTTGTTTTTATGGGCAAGCCATGGCCTTAAAAAAGCTAAGTCTCATGCTGTTGGCAAGCATTAATGTTTTCGAACTTTTAACTGCTTTTGCTTACAAATGTTGCCAGTAATCATAAGATTTGCCTAAAGATTGCCTTCAGTCATATTATCTGCATGCCTTTTTATTCTACCGACAGATGCAGCTTCTCAAATAGGTAGCCTGGGACTGACCCCGTTCTCTCCTCCCCCAGACGACCGGCCGCCGTCCATCATGAAGCCTGACATTGTGTTTTTCGGCGAGGGCCTACCGGATGAGTTCCATCGCAGTATGGAGCTGGACAGGGAACGGTGTGACCTGCTCATCATCATCGGATCCAGCCTCAAAGTCCGACCCGTGGCGCTTATACCGAGTGAGTTTTGGGCTCGAATCCAGGCAGTGGCAGGATTTTTTTCTTGTTGTTTTATATCCTAAGCATGATTTTCCTTTAAAAAAATGACCCCATTTCTGAACAGACGGGAAGTGCGCGGGCGAGGGTAAAATTTTCTCACTATTCGTAGCAGAATGTGTCGGCCGTCTGTTTCTGAGACACATTGTGCAAATTTTGTAATTTTCAAACGCTCGTCACTTCCCATGCCAAAACATTCGCTGGGTTTCGGATTGTTGTCCTCAGGAGAGCTTCTGCTTTGTGAACGGCCCAAACTTGTCTATCACGTGGTTTTGTGGGAGCGCCCCCCCCCCCCGACCCCCACCAGAGCCGCGGTCGGGTCAGTCGCCGGGCCGCCAGCTGATTGGCCGGCTGACGGGTCACAGAGGGCGCTGACCTCGCTCTGGTCAGACGAACAGTCTGGAATGGGTTGCGGGTGTGCCAGACGGCAGTATCTGACTGCCAAAAAAAACTTATTTCGTAATTTTAATTACACTTTAATTCATGCCACTACTGGGCCCAATCTGACCAAGTGCGGTAAACTCAATTTTGGGGTAGTTTTTTTTTGTAGCTACGTAGTGGGGAAGTTTGGTAGTTTACCCCAAATTGAGTTAACCGCACTTGGTGAAATTGGGCCATGGTGTTATCCTGTCCGCCACCTGTCGCAACCAAGATTATAAGTCACGGTGAATAAAATATTGACAGGGGTCGAGCCGCCATACGGCTTCCCAGGAAAACCCGGCCTCACAGTGGCATGTTTTGCTTTTTGTTATATTTGCCATGTTCGAGTTGTCAAGTAATTCCTACATTTTTAATCAGTTAACATTATCTGGTGAGGGGCCAGTTTTACCTCACGTATTCCCATTCTCACTAAGTGAATATAAGGCAAGGGCATCGCTATGACGTTTAATTTGTTCTTTGCCAATGTTTCACGACTAGCGACGTCGGTGGGGCATGTAAATATTCGTAGTAATGGATCTCACGGGAAACGTCTCCGCACTCCGTACTATTACGAATGTTGCGTGTCGAGATATTCAAGGCGCCAGGTCAGGGACTTCCTGTTTTCGCAAAACCGCTTTTGTAGTCTGCTATGCCGAGGGGTCCTGTATGTGTCCTGTGACCGCGGGAAACTTCAAAGAATTGTCGCCCAACGTGGGGCTCGAACCCACGACCCTGGGATTAAGAGTCCCATGCTCTACCGACTGAGCTAGCCGGGCGTTAACGTAATTGTATGTTTAGGGCTCTGTGCTCATTGTGGTTGATATTCATTCATCTATGTATTGCTCGTAATCCATTCATTCATTCATTGTTTCATTCATTCAGTCACATTTACAGGGATCGCTTGTGCACCATACAAATACACGAGCGAACGCAATAGTCAAAAAGTGCATTTTGTGCCGGGCTCCCTTCCAAGATGTCGCCAACAGTGTATCAAATTTGAGCGCGACTGACCCCGGTGTTCTTGGTATGTAGAAGCAGCCCCCGCACGTGCGCACGTGCAAACTGGACCCAAACTGACTTGTTCACGGCACCCTAATAACCGGTCCCCAACTGTACCAAACTTAACACAATCGGTTCACTGTTCTCGATATTTGTAAGTCATCCTGGCACGCGCTCACGTGCACCCTAACCCAGGGCCGCCGGCCGCTGGACATCCGGTGGAGATATGACACCGCGGGGTGGAGATATGACACCGCCGGGTGGGGTGGCGAGTGCTCGACACTGGCTGGCTAGTTGGCGCGGCGAGCACTGTTAGGTTTGAGCGGGATACGAGCCGCGGAGCTGCTGTGTGAACTAGACAGGGGGGCATTCATATTAGGGCGGGTCATCCGAGAACTTTTTTTCGAGGACACATAATGAAGACCAAAATTCCTACGGAGCATGTCACAAGAAGACTGTGTGAATTTTTTCAATTTTTTTGGTTGAGGTTGCGGGTCGCCGCAGCCAATTTATCAACCGGGTTTTTCGCTACATTTTCACTGCACGCGAGTTTTGAGCACAAATATCATATGATTAATTATTTTCAAATATATACCTCGAAACTTCAGCTATTCCTCAACCTATTCTGCAAGTCTGTTGGCTTTATCTCTTTAACTGTGGCCATGGTGCCATGCTCTCTGTATCGGTTTTCCGCAACTCGATCGCAGCGCCATCTCTTGAGAGGACTGTTAACCTTGCGTCGGCCGAGACAATATGCATTCTGCTGATGCGATCTTAGGACGCTGATGAAAAAAAACGTAAGGCACAGGAGCGTATATAGCGTGAAAGCTGTCAATTGCAATTAAAGTAGCCATGAAATGTACATATTGGGGGTTCACCTGACTTTAGCACAGCCATTATGCGCCAAGTGCGATAGTGTCCGCTGGACCTATTAGTCATTTGATTCTGCGCTGAGACTTCAGCAGCATTATTTTCAGTTTTGGCTTCGATTATTTCCTTGCATGTAAATTTAACCTTTCTTTTGAAATGCAAACCTAGTGTTAGAACTGAACAGTAGCAGCTCAATTACAGAATAACTAAGTACTAAGTTAGCCTCGTCAACTTAGCCCGGCTTCATCTGACAACAGACTGAGGATGAGTTGCGAGGTATCCTGCTGATCGGCGATCCGCGTATCATATCACTGCCCGAGTCGCGCGTTCTCATCGGACCATCAGATCCTATTTTGATGACCTATTGGGGCTGGGCAGTGGGCCACCGCAACAAGCAGTGGAGCATCGAGCTTTGAGGGAAACTGACCTCATAATAACCGCGGTAGTAGCTGCTAAGTGGTCTCCGACGCAATTTGTGATCCCAATCATGTGACATTGTTGCAGTTAGTGGAAAGGAGCCTCCATGTCGAAACGGAACTAATGCCGCGTGGTGGTCCTCGGTGACACTTCACATACTGTTCTCGGATAGGCAAGTGATTACAAAGGAAATGCCCTTCTGCATTTTACGTGCATAAGGATGCGTCGTTTATCATGATAAATAGGATAGCCGTGCTGGATCATCGGCTATGACGAGCCTGTTGGACGAGCATATTGCTTCAGTAAATGAGCCCGGTAGTCAATGCTATTCTATTTTACACCAAAATCAGACAAGGGCCAAACTATTAAACAAGTTTACAAGACTTGTGAAAAAGCCACTGGACTAAAGCTGCGCCGATCAGTGGACCATTTACCAAGAGTGCCTGTGCATCGAGCAGGAACCGTTCGTGCCGTTTCGGGCAACGCCATGCAGTCCAGATCAGAGAACACTTCTGAACAGCCCGGAAGCAGGCGTCACGCTCTTGACAAATCCTGAGGTAGCTGTCAGTAAGGAAGCTTGAGCCCTTGAATTTGGTAAAATGGCTTACGTTGGCAGCTTGCAAGTTACGTATTCCGTCGCGATCGCCCATCATACAACATATATTGACCAGCTTCGAACTATCACCGAGTTCAATGTTGTTCACTATGTCCCAATGTGGTCCGAAATTACGGAGTAAACATTGCAGAGACGGATTACTCCAAAGCATCCAGCTATTGCGAGACCTCTCAGCTCACCGGTCTGTGTTATTCGCCCAGTGATCGACAGGAATAAGTACCGGGCTCACTATAGGAAACTTTTTTGGGCTGTACTGGCCGATACAGACAGCCAGCAAACAGTGCATATGTTACAGGCAATGTGTGGAATCAGGCATTCTATAGAATGCCTAGGCATTCTATAGAATGCCTGACCGACCAGGCATTCTATAGAATCCCTAGGTATTCTATAGAATCCCTGACTGCTTAGGCATTCTATAGAATGCCTGGCTTAAGCTCCCAGGCATTCTATAGAATGCCTAACCGAAACACACTTCGAAAATTAGAGGTCAGTGGCAGTAATGCTATTTGTTAACCTAATTTTCTTTGTTGGCCTAGGCCGGTCGTCACCTCACACCATTTCAGGGCAATGAGTTGAGAGGAAGCGAGGGAGAAATTGGGCTATGCCGACCACCCAATTGGTGCGCCGCAAGCAGCAACTGATCCAATCCCGTTGGCACGGGAGAGCCACGGCGCAAGGCACGCGGGAGAGCCACAGGCCAACCAGTCGCTTAAACGGTTACCCTCGGAGGATTATGCTGCTACAGATACGAAGCTGCATTAGAAGAGTGTTGGCTGGGAGGGCGGAACGTAGGCTTGAATCGAAAGTGATTGCGAATGACGATGGCTTTGTTCGGATGTTAGAAAGCAGTAAAACGCCTTTTGGGCGAAGAACGAGCGAGCGAGATAGTGAGCCCTGCACGTGCGGAAGGGCGAGAGGGTATTTCCAACGGGCTTGTGCAAAGCACCCTTCTAAACGCTTGCTAGCGGTGTGCCAAATTTGAACGCAATCGGCCCAGCCGTTCCTGAGATCTGGAAGCGGCATTCTGCACGTGCGCACGTGCAAACGGGGTCCAAACTGACTTTTGCACGGCACCCTACTAACCCTAACTGCAACACATGGGAATGCATTGCCTGGTGGGTGCCTACCTAAATGCCAAGTTTCAGCGAAATCGCCCAAGTAATTACCCGGAGTTATTGAAATGGGAACAAATTTGACACCTCTTATTGTTGTATTTTGCACGTGCACTGGGGGTGACCCACATGCATCGAGAGCAGCGATGCCATTCCTTGGGATTTGTCCCAAGATCTTGGGATTTGAACATTAACATTGGGATCTTGTGATTTGCACTGCATATCTTGGGATCTGGCAGAAGCTGATTTCACTTTGTCTCCTCATGCTGTCGAATGCTTTTTCCTTGGTCGATAATAGATTTAGGATGAATTTGCCTCACGGACGGTTAATCAAGCATTGAAGTAACGGACGAAGCTTGCGATGTTTCTAGCAGGCATTATCTTCCCGAGATCGCAGGATTATTTTTGTACCATTACTTGTTATGGGTATAGTAGCAGCTTCCAGTCGCTGTTCGCAACTGGCGCTCATTTGTTTAATTTCCAACTACCGATCAACGGGGATGGGTGGTTTGGCGGCATGATGTTGGGGGGCTATGAAAAGCTTTTACAAACATTATGCCTAAAAAAATATTTCAGAAAGCGGCTCCCGCAAAAAGCGTTTCATTTTACGGTTTTGCTCTATGGAGGCTTATCCGTTGACCGCGAACCAAAATAAGGGCAATTTGTCTTTGACCTCGGAAAAGTGTCTGGTCACCTGACCTCTGGGCTCTGCTGGACCAAAAATAATCAAAGCGTAACCTTGCGACCTTCACAACACTGCTGACGTCTTGTAACTATGTAGTCCAGGGGACGAGTTAGGTCCTCGTTTAAAGGGACTATCCCACCTTGAACATGGGGTTTGAGTTGAGATAGCCAAGTTTGCGGCGAGGTTCAGAAACCACTATCTATCTAGGTTGCAACCCCCGCGGCCTCTTGGTGTTGAAGAAATTCGTTCCCTTCATTTGAAAATGGTCCTTGTACAAGGCCCTATCTTCAACATGGAGCGACCGTTAGTGTGACGTCACCTCGATTAGTCATTCTGATTTAAATGGGTTTGTTAGTTGAAAAATTGCTGAAAACTTGGTCTGAACTTTGTTGTGGTGCCTACAGAGTAAAAAGAATCAGCTTTATGACAGTAATGTGGCCTGGGGAAGGAGGTAATTTTGGGCTGTGACGTCACATATTTGAAAGTTTGTGTTTGGAATATGGGAAGCCTAAGATGTTTAATGAAAAATAAATGCCAGAACCGCGTTACTGGTCATCCAATCTATAAAGTCGGGCACAATTTAACTGGTTTTAACAACATTTTAGAAGGTGGGATAGTCCCTTTAACCCGCGCACCGACGGGGGGGGGCGGATATCCGCCCCCCCCTGAGGTTTTTCGCGAATAGCGGGAAAACCGCGGCGCGTAGCGCCGCGAAATTTGGTATGACTATTCCCTTATCAATTTTACACATGGTGTGCAAGTTTGAACCTCCTACCTTTCAAGGTCAGGTCACCAGGTCACTTTGAATGACCCAACCTCAAGTCACTTTTTTGCAACTTTGTCACCGTGCCAGAGCTACAGTAGATGTCGGAGGCCTTTGAAAGTCGCAGGATGTTATTAGGTCATTAGTAGCTACAATTTGTATATCTCGGAATTTTGATATCGGTGACCTAAGGTCAGGTCAATTTCGCGACCTCCCCATTATAAGTCAATGGGGGAAAAATTAACTCCCTGTTTTTACCACTAAAACGGGTCGGAATGGCCCCATATACCATACATGACTTCATATACGATCAACCTTCACTACCTTGAGGTCTGTTTTGCTGTTGGGCAGCTGTGAGGTCATGTGACGTCATCAAAGGTCACCAAAGGTTTTTGGCCAATAACTCCGTACAGGAACAAGATACAGACGCGTGGATGGTCTCATTGTGTTTAGCTCGTCAAGACGCATCGAATGATATACATGATGACCTCGAGGTCACGTGACCTGAGGTCAACCTTTGACCTTGACCTTTCGAGGTCAACATATATATCATTCGATGCGGATTGACGAGAGGATCACGATGATGCCCTTAGTTTGTTCCTATCTTGACTAATTCGAAAGTTATTCGAGAAAAACTCTCTCCATATTTAGCGCCGCCATTTTGACTTTTTCGACCCCTGTGACGTCATCTTTGACCTGACCTGAAAATGACCTTTGTAAAAATTGTAGATCTTGACCGTGCGTATCCGATGCCGTTTACCGCTTGTCGCTATCTTGCTTCGTTCTCGAGATCTCAGGGGGGGGCGGTCATCCGCCCCCCCCCGTCGGTACTAAGTTGGCGCAGACCCCCGTCGGTGCGCGGGTTAACTTTAGACCCCCTCGCCATCGTCGGCTTGAAAATTCATGGGCCCCAGCGGGCACTGGCTTACGCGCAGATTCACAGCATAAGCTTTTCGATTTCGGGATTCACATAAGCTTTTAAGAGCTTGTTTTGGAGCCCATATTTCAAAACTCAGTGGTGGAAAACACTTAAAATCAGCCTGACCTCACCTGACCCTAGCTTCTCCAAATGTGTCACGAGACAAATTTCGAAATAAATCCAAAATGCCACAGACTTCGTTTCCAAGAAGTTCTAACACATTCGGACTTTGTGTTTTGGGTCCTTGACCCACCATTGACGGTCGACGAATGACCTGACCATAATATCAGATACCACCGGCTTCATGTTGTCTAGGCCAGCATCTTCATTTTTCGTGAAGCTCTTATACTCGGTCAGGAACCGGTCAGCTGTAGGAGTGCGATCGACCCCCTCCCCCTCCCCTCCCCCAGCCTCTAGGTACGTACATTAGCTGCTGTAAATACGCCAATAAGGACAAGGGTAGACCCAAAGAAGAGAAAGTTGAATACTAAACACACTAATATGTCCAAAATAAGCTATGGATTTACTTGGGGTACTCCTAAGGATATGCGATGGGTAGTCTTGGGATTCGAGACGAGAATCTTGGAAAATTCTGGTTGAGATCTTGGGATGGAGCAAAAATGTCGATGGCATCACTGATCGAGAGTATCCTATTTTTGGTAGAAGGGATGCAGCTACCCTACAAAAACTACCGCAAGACAATCGCCCTAGCGGCTGCTGAGATATGAGCCTCTCAAAATCATTACTTCTGCAAAACAGCTTGAACACCCTTGACTTTTCACGTGGCACGTGCCACGACGATCACTGAGATGTATCAAAAGTAGTCAATTACGGGGTAGAAGGGATGGGGCTACCCAACAAAAAAGACCGCAGGCCAATCGGTCCAGCGGTTGCTGAGATATAAGCCTCTCAAAAGCGTTACAGGCCGGGCCGGGCCGGGCCGGCCTGTCCGGCCGGGTCCGGACGAGGGCCGGGTCGCTCGTAATCAATTCCTTAGAAAGCAAACACCACCAAAAATGGACGATTTGTCAAACTTTTTTCTGTGTAATTTTTTACCAAAGGCGTTTCCGATATTGACATTACCACCATCGTCTTTCTAGCTTGAAGATAAATAACTCTGTACTCTCAGAATGAAATCCTGATACAATTTGACCTAATAAGGTTAGATTGAATACCTGACCGGAAAATTTGACTGAATGAACATGAATGACTGAATGAACATTTGACTGAATGAACATAAATAGCTGACCGCAAGGTAGCCTGGCAGAAAATAATAATGCTACACATCGGTCTGTGCTCATAATCTTATACAACATACACTAATATGTCGGAAAGAATAGTGTTTCCTAGGCATTCTATAGAATGCCTGAAAATCAGGTATTCTATAGAATGCCTAGGGATTCTATAGAAACCCTGATGGCTCAGGCATTCTATAGAATACCTAGGGATTCTATAGAATGCCTGGTCGGTCAGGCATTCTATAGAATGCCTAGGCATTCTATAGAATGCCTGATTCCACACATTGCCTGTAACACATACACTGCGATGCTTGCTGAACTAAGGAATGGTGATAAAAAGACTCGAGACACTTATGGCAAAAAAGTAAAGGAAGCGAATGAGGCAGGAGACATAAAGATATGCGATTCTATCAGCATTTTGCAATAAACAAGTCATGCACTACATGCAGCTCATAGATCGGTCCAAAGAACGCGTTACACCGATAGCAATCTCGCTGGAAGAGGGTGACCTTCGACCCGCTGCTTAACAAATTAATTTCGATGCGGTGCATACCCATACTCACTACTCAGGCAGTGGAGCGAGCCGTCCGGTTCCTAACTTAGGCAGCATACGTTGCTGTTATTAAGAGAGCACGTCTCGGTTACATCACGTGTGCCATCAGGACGCAATGCAACGCTCTCATGCCGGCGTTTGAATCAATTATCGAAGTGTGATTGCATTCACTCCATTGCATTCAAAAATGAACTTACGGTTTGGACTGATGTTATCTGTCTGCAAAACTTAATTTAACTGATAAACATATAGGTATCAAAGTTAAGCATCTCGCTGTTTTCTTGGCGAAATCACTATAGGTATAGCTTCCGGAGCAATTTATGATTGCTGAAGTATTTCGGATCGAATGGGTACAACTCACCTATTGTCAAATAAGGAACACCAGACACCTAGGAACACCAAAGAACACCATATACCCGACGTGGCAGCGGCTGCGTCAGCTTTTGACGGTCGGAAAGCCGTCAAAATCAATGTTATGCCAAACTCGCTCAATAGATGGCGCTGATTTCGTTGCGCTTAGAGCGCCGATGCTAATCGCTATTCTGAGCACGATTCTGCCACTGGGGTTTCCAAACTTTGTGAAGAGGTGGGGGTAAGCATGTAGAACTAGGAAAGTGGTAAATATAGTACCTTTCTCTAATTTTTCCCACTACATTTTGCAAACAACGAGAAAAATTAGCAAAAGTGGTCTCGAAAAACCGTTGACGGCGCGCCCAGTTCCTTTTCAAAAATTCGCAAAAAATATGTTTTAACCGTTTTATGGATCAGCCTGTAGGAAAATCGCTCTTCACTTGGAAACTTTTTCCATCGACCCGCCCTAATTCATATGCTCCGCAGCTCATACCTATATGCCACACATATTCCACAGCATATTTTGTAGGTTTTAGGTTTAAGGTTGTAGCTTGGTAGATACCAGGTTGTAGGTTTTAGGTAAGATTAGGTCAGGTTAGATTTTCTACATTTTCTTTGAAAAGATATGCCATGTATCATGAGACGTGGACTACCTATGTGGCATATATGATATATACGCCCAAATGGTGGGACACCGTGCATGCAAGGTTGCTCCTTTAATGGCCGGCCTGACAGCTAACATTTTTTTTCTGACGTTTTCGTGTTTCATTTTAACCTTGTTTCTCTCTAAAACGATGTGTTCCTTCAGTGTGTGACTGTACCCTCTCTCCCGTCTGTGTTTCTCAGGTTCTGTCAACCCGGATGTGGCCCAGATTCTGATTAACCGCGAGCCGTTGCCACATCTCAACTGTGACGTTCAGCTGCTGGGAGATTGTGACGTCATAGTGCACCACCTCTGCCACCTGTGAGTACTGCCCACGCCGCGGTGTGACGTCATTTTGACGTCAATTTGTATTACCTTGCTTGCCATGTCGGGTGGTGTCGGTAATGCGATTTTAGTTTTGCACGGTAAATGGTGACATGATATGGATGGGCACAATATTAAGGTCTTTTGGGGTTCATTGGGATATACTCATACCTTATTTTATTATATGTTATATAACAATATTTAAAAAAATCTGTCGTGTGTAATTTTAGTATATATTTAATCGTACATTTGTTACTATGGTATTAACTAGCTAGGTTGAAACGAAGTTAAGAATAGCTCAATACATTTTTTCGATCTCCTTAATGCAACTTGTGACAAGTTGCATTGATCTCAGTCTTAAATCCATTTTATCGATTATTTTCTTGCATCGGCCAGTTCCGGACACATCAAATGACATTGAATGACGCACTTTGGTGTGTTGTAAATCAACATTTGGTTTGGCTGTGTCTTCTCAGCTATCATTTAGTTAGATCCGAGAGTGACAAAGTTCGGCCAGTAAATTTGTTTTTCTGCACTGCAAACTAAGTACCGCCAGCTAAGTTCTGCTATTTGAAGTAGTATTCGACAGGTTGAAAGCCTTGTGACAAGTTTCATTGATCCCAGTCATAAATCCACTAGATCAGACTTTACATGCAGTTTTCTTATGTATTTCGAACCTCATTTAGGCCACGATTTTGCACATTGTCCTGCGAAGAATGCCGTATTTTTCATGATGTCTCGTGGTGCAAAAGGCCAAGTGATTGATCCTTCTGACCGTAAATGTAGATTGATTGTAAATTCAAATCAACCAGTTAACTGCTATCTGTAAACAAGTAAACGCCTTTTGGGGCGACCAACGGAGCTAGCGAGAGGGTGGGCCTTGCACGTGCGAAATTGCGAGCGGGTACCTCCAACTAACTTGTGCACTGCACCCTACTAACCGGTCTAACGATGTGCCAACTTTGAGCGCAATGGATTCTCGAGATCTGGAAGCGGCACCCTGCACGCGCGCACGTGCAAAATGGGTCCCAACTGACTTGTGCACGGCAATCTACTAACCTGTCCCTAGCCCAGACTTGTAAACGACTCTGAGTTGATTCGTGAATCGACTCAGAATCAAACCGTTTTTCGATGAGTCATGAGTTGATTCGAATCACTTCATCGAGGAACTTGATGAGTCATGAGTTGATTCGAATCAATTAAATTTAACATCATGAGTCATTTGATGAATCGATTCAAATTTTCAGACTCAAACAAAGAATCGACTCAAAAAAAGTTTGAGTCGTTTACAAGTCACCATCAACACCCTAATAATCAATGCTAGATCACCCCCTCAGCTTTAGCCATCACTTAACTCCATATTTCAGACTTACAAGAGCCTCAGAGGCTCAGGCACAGGCGCCTAATGAGCCAAAAGCATTTGGCAGTTGGTACCTAGGTACTAGAGGTGGCAAAACTGGAAAATTTTGGGACCCGGACCCAGTCTGACTGGCACATTTCCAGAACCGGTCAGACCCGGTCTAGGTCAGCATTGGAACCAGATGGACCCGTTCCCGAAATTCATTTGGAAAATTGTGTACTGTGCAAGAAGAAAATATTTTCTTTCCAATTGAGCAACCTTGTGTTGCAAAGTAAAACACTCATGCCATGGTCATTTCACTTCGCTTCACAGTTTGTATTTTAGAACCAGATTCAGGTCATATTTAATAATATAAGGCGTAAGAAGAACAATGAATTTCATGCTCACCTAAGCCCCTTTTACTACAAGCTGCTAAAAATGATGTGAACTGGGGATCCATGGAGGAGTGACTTCATCAGTCAGAACCTAACATCAAACATGGAACAAGATAAATATACTGATACCTTTGCTAATATTCTTGGTAAAAGATATTCGTTTTTAGAATGGAATACATAAGTCCTTCAAATATCAACTATATAACGTCCCAAACCAGAAAATCAAAATCAAAATAGAGAAACATAAAAATGTAAGGTCCGCCAGAAATGTCGACACCAATGGCAAGACAAAGCAGGCGTTAAAACACTGCAAAATTTTGTTGGCGTTAAAGTACTGCAAAATCGAAATGGCAATAAAGTACTGCAAGGTTGCGATCACGACTTAGTGCCAATTCATTAACGTAGAAAACAAACTACAATTTGTTGTTAGTACTTAGATATAGAATAAAAACCAAAGTTTCTGGGACTGACCTGATTTTGATCTTAGCGTCTTTGAGCTGGGATCCATGAGCAGAGTAATTGCGTATTACAAACGTATCACTATGATGAACAAGTAGGAAAATCCGTTCCTGATGCACATTTACTCGTCAATGCATTCGGGGTCTTTGTATCAATGTCATTAGGCGTTTAGTATGTGCTAGAGTGGAGACTTTGTCCTCTTCCCGATCGTGTTCCAAAATTGTTACCTTTATGCAGTAGATTAGCGTGCGTAAGGCTTAGCATATATGACGCTCAAATGCGCCGTTTTCATATCAACACGGAATCATTGGCCTTGGAGAATGGCATTGGTATTGACTCAGTTATTTGCCAGCTGTTGCCGTATGATGGCGCTAGTAGAGCGCTAGTGTTATACGCTCTGCTAGCGCCACCATGCGGCGCCAGTTGGCTAAAAATCTGTTCAATATCACGGCTTCTGGAGAATGCCTTAGATTCATTTCATACAGATAGAAATAATTTCAAAGCTGATTGAGTTATGAAATGCATTTAAATATCAAACCAAGGCCATGGGTATCAGACATGAACTGCGATTTCCGGTGGGCACAGTGACTTTGGTAATTGGTATGTCAATGTCTTTGAAAAGGCAGGTAAGATTTGCAACTGGTCAGCCTTGCTTCAATTGGATTTGTGTCCATTATAAATGGATTTCAGTCATACTTACCTACATATGTTATTGGTATTTGATTTCTACAGCCCAAAATATTGTTGGGTGTGTACAGCAAACTGAATGGAAGGGATGTGTACAAACATTTGAAGTATTTTCTGGACTGCTTGCAGTTAGAACTTGTTTGCTTTGTTGTAGGTGACAAGATAAGAAATTGAAGCAAGACTGACCAGTGACCAGTATGCTACAGAATAGGTAGCCCAATCTGCAGGAATATTAGAATTCAAAAGTGGAATTGGGACTTAGGAACTGGAAACTGCATCAACCATGTTTGCCAAAGTAGGTACCTATGTACCTAGTCCTACTAGGTAGCTGCTTGAATCTTTGGTCAAGGCTACTATGCTGCTTAATACAATTGTGGTATGCGGCATATTCATTTTATCATAGCTTTGAGTCAAATAATCAACAAATGCCTATAGTGAGTCATGGGTTGAATGAAATAAGTTCAATAAAAATGTCGTGTGAGTCATGAGTTGATTTGAATCGATTCATCAAAATGTGTGAGTCATGAGTTGATTCGAATCATTCTGTTGGCTAGTTGCTTGAGTCATGAGTTGATTCGAATCATTTTATCGAGGGACTTGATGAGTCATGAGTTGATTCGAATCAATTAAATTTAACATCATGAGTCGTTTGATGAATCGATTCAAATTTCCAGACTCAAACAAAGAATCGACTCAAAAAAAATTTGAGTCGTTTACAAGTCTGCCCTAGCCATATACCAAATTTCAGCGCAATCGGTTCAGCTGTTCTCGAGATCTGGAATTGACCCCTGCACGTGCGCACGTGCAGCAGCACCTCAACTCTGGCACATGGATCGCATTGCTTAGTGGGTGCCTACCTGCATGCCAACTTTCAGCGCAATCGGCCAAGTAGTTACCGAGATATTGCAATTGTTTTAAAACCGACACCTCTTCGTGGCACGTGCATAAGGGTCACCCACATGCATCGGGAATAGTCCAATACTTTGTAGAAGGAATGAAGCTACCCAACAAAAATTACCGCATGTAAATCGGTCAAGTGGCTGCCGAGATATAAGCCTCGCAAAAACATCCGAACGGCCGGCCGGCCGCTCATACAAAAAAAAAAATGTTAATTTACGATAGACTTCGCTCGCTCCGTAATAACATAGCTTAAGCACTGACGCTCATTCCCCTTCCCTCTCAGGCTCGGTGGCTCTTTCTCCGAGCTCCTAACTGGTGACGGAGACAAGTCACCACCTCTGCCGCTGAGGGAGCTCACTGAACTACCCCCTCGCCCCGCGCCATCTGCGCCGTCCTCACCGCTGGCCGATCCGACCAACGAGAATGACACTGACGCCCTCCGGTACTGCTGGCAGAGGAAACTGAAGGAGAGCGTCGCTGCCAGACTACCCGGTGAGTGCGGGTTCGAATCCTCGGGAGCGTTGGGATTTTTAGGTGCGATTTTAGATTAGGTATTTAGACACCGCGCCGGTCTAGACTGACTAGGTGGTTAGTCAGGTAGAAAAAGCAGCTATATTTGTAATTCACTGAAGAGCGGTTAGCTACATCATAGTTCTTGCTTTGAGTAGATTTGTTTTGTGTCGGTGCGCTAAAAAATGATTGAAATCAAGAGACTCTTCTTGACCGTTCTAATTTTCACCATGGTGGTAAGTCAAAGGCTTTTTCATTATGTTTTTTGTGTTCATTATGTTGTTTTTGTGTCAGATAGACTGAATCATTTTGATTTACGTGCGATCGGCGAGAGATTCTTATCAGAAGAAGTTTTGTTACGGGCGTTTGCGTCCGCCCTTAGTCTGGCGCCTGGCGCCGCCCATGTCGCCTCCCAGATGGGCGCGCCTGGCGCCGCCCCTGCCGTGTGACCCGGGGCGGGGTCAGCGGCTGGCCCCCGCGGACGGGCGGTGGCCCGACAGAGGCCGGTAATCGGCAGAGGCGAGCGGGTTGATCCCTCGTGCTTTTGGTGCGTTCTGTCAGCAATGCGTTCAACGCATCGAGTACAAGCGTAATATACTCTCGCAATATGATTATCTACATCGTTTTGTTTGTCTTATATGGTGGTTTCCACTGACCCCACGTTTACCTGACTGACGCTGCCCTCTATTCTTCAACAGAGGGCACCTATCTGCACCAGCCGCCGTCCCGGTACATTTTCCCCGGAGCGGAGGTGCTGGTCGATCCTGACGACTCGGACAGTGACAGAGACTCGCTAGACTCGGACCGCGGCAGTGACGATGAGGTGAGTCAGTGCGAGGGGGTGGGTTCGATTCTACACACGGGAAAATATATATAGCGGTTTTTCATACTATATGCGTTTTATTAAAGTTGCATGAATCAGCGTTGTTATTTGCTTTTATTGATATCGAATTTCGACCTAAAATTGCTGAGTTGCTTCAAAATTGCTTTCTTTCGGCACATTGTGTTGCAAAACAGCAATAAATCTTTTCGCATATCATGTATTACAGGTTTCCTATAAATATTTTCTATTTATCAACATCAGGGCACATCATAGGGTAATCATCCAACCACACATCATCTCGGAGCACATCAGGGCACTAACACCGCGCCACTTCTCTTTCTCCAGTCTCCGACCGCTGAGGGCGACCATCTGAACAACTCCACGGATACGCCGGAGACGGCAGTCACTCCTACACACACCGACTCCTGTCCTCCAACGCCTCCTGGACGAACTGCAACCTCTGGAGCATCATCAGGAGCACCGGGAACGTCTTCTGCATCTACTGCTGAAGAGGAGACTTCATCTACACCGACGGTGAACCCTTCTTCGACATCGGATATCGAGATGGAGCCAGAAACGGTGGGTTCGCCGGGCTCAGCCCTGAAAAGGCCGATCAGTGAAACACTAGGCGGAGAGGAGGAGAGTGGTGTGAAGAGACCGGCGTTTGGTGGCGGGGGTGAGCCTGGCGTGTCTCCCGCCACCGCCAAAACCGCCCCCGCCCCCGCCACCGCTGGAGACAGTGGCAGCGCGCAGAGTGCGTCGGAAAATGCCACCGGATCAGCTGAGGCGATCAGCTAATCTACCGCTTCGGGATTCGGTAGAACACACCGAAGTTGGGTTCAGATTAGTGAGTTTTCAGGCGAATACCTACATTGGATGGTGACCATAAATATCTATTTTCATACAGTGTCTATCAGTGTGCGTTAACTAGCGTTGTGTCCTTTGACTAGTGCAGTTAGACTGAGTTTGGAGCAAAGAAGTGGAAATCATGAATCCGATCGACTCGGTTAGAAATCAATCATGTGAACTATTGTGAAGCTATGAGCCAATGGTGAGCTAATTTAGGGCTACGAGCTCCATGGAGCTATGAGCCAGTGGTTAGGTTCATGGAGATTTCAGCCAGTGGTGAGCTAATTTGGAGCTCGGGATGAGCTAATTGGAGAATCTGTTGACCAGGGATGAGCTATATGAACCAGTGGTGAGCTATCCTGGAGCCCTGAGCCAGTGTTGAGCTGATTATTAATCCCCTTTGTGGGCACGTAGCCGAACACGCACCCACCAGATAACCAATTTTATTCGTGACATCATGAAACACCGTAAGTTTCTTTTTTCTTCAGTACTTCGCTTCAGTTTAACCATGTGTTTCAGAATAAAAAGAACCACTTCTCTATCGATATTGGTGATCGCTTTTATTTTTCCACTTATAACTGTTCACTTTTCAAAGTAATGGCATGTTTTAGATACATGCATGCGATACTTTCAATGCAGATGATAATTGATCGGAAATGCGATCATTGGATCGCGCCAGATGTAGCCGAACCTACAATTTTCTCTTTATCAGAGGACAGGAGAATATAATTATGAAGATATAAATGAATATATAATAAAATAAACACCACACAACCGTGCATGCGCATCGTGCATTCATAATATTTTATGTATCGCCATTGGAAGCGAAATGACCATACTATCTACGTACGTACCCTGAGAACCCAATAAACGAACAATAATATCTTATACACTTAACTCTTGTACACTCAAAGAACCCTATCTGCGCCACTGAACTGGCATCTGACGCAGTAGGGTGGAAGCCAGCACTGTTTGGTGCTTGGTGTAATTCCGGAAATAACTTATAACTAACTGGATGCTACTTTTCTGTGCCAGGCTGTGGGATGGCGCCACACTCTTTTTCTTTCATTTGGTACGAGTGCTCCCTCGGCCATTGTCTGCTCTGAGAGGACTTGGTTGAGTCTGGCTCTGCAGCTGGCTCGTACGGTACTCTGCCTCGACCTGCCGTCACTGTACTTGCGGTTCGTCGGATATACATATTTCGTGTTGGACGGTGAGCTGAAGTCCTCGTCATGTCATCTGATATACGAGTCACCAGACGTGGTGGGTGGTGGTATTTCAACTAGAACATTCAGTGTTGGCACTCTTGTAGAGAATATGTGGCCCGTTGGAGGGTTGGGTTATTTGGCCGATTAATTTTGATTTCAGTACAGTCCAAGTGAATTGGCGGATCAGTGAAACAAACCGTACGCTCCTGGGTACTCCGAACCTACGGGGTGTCATCCCGTGCCGCCGCTGGTGGAAAGTCCACCTCCAGGTGACAGCCGTCGAGCTGGTCCTCTGCCGGCCACCACCCGCGCACAAAGATACAGGGCACGTGGTCAGTACCGCCGTCTGTAACATCACGAGATGACTTGAGGTTGACCGCCGGTCCGGCGGTGCTGATTTGTCCGTCTATTATAACCCGACAAAATTCCAGCATGAGCTTGCGCATTGTGTGGGCCCGTAGTTCCTCCAGTGAGGTGTAGTGCCTCTAGTGCCTCTAGTAAGAATGGGTACTATTTGAGGTGGGTGTCCATTTTGTTTGTTCCCGAGGTCCCGACATGGTGACACTTATCGAACCACAAGCCAGACCGTTGCACCTACTCGGTCTCACTCCCACTCATTACACCCCACCGCCTCAGGCGGTCACGTGATGGCACACAGCCGGTGGCGGCGCCAGGTACGCCGCAGCGGGGCGCTGGATCAACGCGCAAGGGCGGCACCAGGCAAACTACCACGGCGCCAGTGATGTGTCCCGGGAACCCCATTCCGGATAGGATGGTATTGGATCTTAAATGCGGTCATTGGATCGCAACAGGTGTTTGCCAAGGCTGCGCTTTCGCTGATAAGTGAGCGCCTAGGTTGATCATTGACCATAAATACGAAAAATAAAAATGTATTCATAATGACAAATATCACACCACAACTGTGTTTACGCTATGTACCAAATCTTGTACCCTTACGAAGGGATACCGAAGGGAAGGGATACGAAGGGATGCCCATTGCCCATGCAGGGATAGCCAAAAGGCCGCAGGGACTGGCCGTATCTGGAAGGGGGCGAGTACCATGGTGCCATGGTATACCATGATACCATGTACCATACCATGTGGCATGTACCATGATATACCACTCGTCGGGACGGCCGCGTTCCCGATCTGTCACGACCAGCCGTGGTCCGTGCTCTCCGTGCTCTTCCAACGGCAGTGGCCGGACCAAGTTCACGTATATAAATGAACATACGCTGAGCCGCGGCGCCCTTTTGTCCGCACAGCAGCTATTTGTAGCAGCGTATAGCGTTGCATGCTTTCGCATCGAAATGCCTGAGCTGTCGAGGACTTCAGATACAGCGCTTACAGACGGCGATGGAGACGAATCATCGGACTTAGGAAGGGTTATCCCGCAGTGCGCTGCCTCGTCTAGAAGTCTCCTCTTAACCCGTCTTTTATGCCGTTCGCTGTAAGCGGACATGAATTATTTACGGCACGCTTTGAAGAAGGTCCATCGGCAGGAGCTGCGGCGGGGCGCCCCGGTGCGGCATTGTCGCTTTCGAATCCGCTCAAACTAATGTCCACAAATGAGTTCGCTATAGACTCAAAAAGTAGCCAGTAAAGTTATGGCACGAGAGTAGACCAGTTGGGTTCACTTGGACCAACAGGGTTCATTAGTCCTCTTTACCTGCACATTAAGTACATCCAAATGGCGTTGGGTAAACCAATGACACAAAATGACGCACGCGAGACATTAGTGTGTTCAGCGTGAGGTACCGATAAGCTAGCATGAACACAAGGTAAACAAAGCACACAAAGTGACGTACCTACGTGTAGCATGAGGTGGTGTTCGGCTATTTATATTGGCCAGGACGAACTAACCTGTTCTGAACAGCGAGCGGGCAGAGTGACGTGACGGGGTTGCTTGATCCGCGGCGCTTCCACCGTTCTTCAGTAGCTGGTCAATGCCACCACTGTTTCTGGGAGGTCGGGCTGGGTTGCTTGGTCCGCGGCGCGTCCACCGTTCTTCAGTAGTTGGTCAATGCCACCACTGTTTCCGGGAGGTCGGGACGTGGTGCTGGATGGCTGTTCGACACCCTCTTGTCCTTCGGCGGTGCGCCACCAGCGGTCACCATGGCAACCATCTCCTTCATCTCCTCGGCGGAGCACGGTGAGGCCAGCCTGGACAAGCAGTCCGCAATATGCATGTGTTCTGACTTCCGTAGTTCCACGCTGTATGAGTAGGTTGCTAGCTGTAATGCGTAGCGTTGCAATCTAGCCGCAGCAAGACTTGGCAGTCCCTTCGTAGGTCCTAGAATCCTCGAGAGAGCTCTGTTATCCGTCACTAGAGTGAACCTTTTTCCATATAGAAAATGGTGAAATCTGCTCACACCATATGATACAGCAGCTGCCTCCTTTTCTACTTTAGCATATTTTCGCTCAGTCACGGTAAGTGATCTCGACGCGTATCCTATGGGCCTCTCTGTTCCGCCTGGTAGAACGTGGAGTAGCGCCGCACCGACTCCTACGCTACTGGCATCCGTTATCAACTTGACTGGTAGGTCCGGATCGTACGTCATTAGCACTCGGGGTCCTGACAGCATCTTCTTCACAGTGTTGACCGCTTCACGGCACTCCTTCGTCCATCTCCATGTCGCGCCCTTCTTCGTCAGTGCATACAATGGTTCCAGTACGGTTGAGAGGTCTGGAAGCAGTTTTGCGAAGTAGTTGATTGATCCCAACAGTGATCTCAGTTGACTGACATCTCGCGGCTCTGGCGCTTCCACTATTGCTTCCACTCCCTTGTCTCTTGGACTGATACCTCGTCTGCTGATCTTCCATCCCAAATACATCACTTCCTTTTTCAGTAACTGGCCCTTTTCTTTTTTCTTCAAATACCCCGTGTCGCGGGGTATTTGAATAATCTGGTAACAAGCTGGTGCATTTTTTGTTCTGTCAAAAGGCTGATATACTTTTCTAGCAATGTTTTAGTCTTCATGCTACGATGCAGCAATGAAAATATTTTAAATACCTATACCTGCTTTTGTGTCGTTACGTAGAGCTCCATCATTATGTTTGGCAAATTATATTTGTTTTGTTTTTTACCATTCTCCTCAGCCAAGCTAGAATAGCATCATCCTGTAAACATCTAAACCTGAAAGTAATATCACGGAATATATAGGGGAAGTTGGGGCAATGCCGGAGTTGGGGCAAAGCCGAAATTCGAGATATTTCGAAAACCGTAAGACATGGATGCCACCTGTCAGTGATGCTCTGAAGCTTAAGTGACTACAATTATCGCATGTTTGTTACGAGTCGTCATTCGGAATACTTCGACTGTGAGGGCGCCAAGAGCGTTTTCAAGGTACGTTTCCCTTGTACTACATGCGCCTTTGAAGCTGCATTTCTTACTCATTATGCTACCGTTTGTCTGGCCAATTCGGTCAAGTAATCTTAAGCATGTCTTTGCATAAGTGTGCTGCCTATTTGAAATTTATACAGCACGTTGAAAAGTTATGGGCCTGCAAATGAAAGTATGGCAGGCTGGGGTAATGCCGAAAACGTGCGATTACGCACGTGTTAAAAGCACGCTACGCGGACTTTACTGCTGTAGAATAGCAACGCGTATTTTTAGTCACACAAATTACACTTTCAACCGACACAACGGCCTGTTACCTATAAGGAATGATTTACCTGGCATGTTCTTATTATATCACACAATTATAACTTCCAGTGTGCACCGCGTCCTCAAGCTCTTAAAACGCGTGTCAGCTTTGATCAATTCTGGATAAAGTTTGAGATAAAATGGCAAAACATCAATGTCGGCATTCCCCGTAGATCATTTCTCCCATTTTCGGCTTTCCCCGCAGTCCGGGGCAACGCCGAAAAAGTCACTTCTTTGATATTTTTAGTTTGTGCGCTTAACGGTATGCGAATTAATCAAATGCGCCTGGTATGTTTGAAAGGCAAAAGACTGGCCTCTCGAATGACGCCAACAAGAATAGCTTATGTTGTCTACCTTGCGTGCTACGGGCGTCAGAAAAAAAGTCTTCGGCGTTCCCCCAACTTCCCCTAGTCTACGACAGACTATATATTATACTGGATGTCGTAGACTATATATTCCGTGGTAATATGTAATGATGGTTCCAGAGCACCATTACAAATACGAGTCATATATGCATGCAAGAAATCTGGCATCTAAGTATTTGATAAACTACTTTCTGTTGACTTATGACATCCAAGCTGATTCGCTGTCACCCTGTATTCACGAACGAGATCACGGCCGCCACCGGATGGAACCCGGGGTTGGCCCAACGACAACCACACCGCGCAGAGGCGGGCTGGCAT